TTGGCCTCTGCAGGACGGATGGCAGAGAGAGCCCCTGGAAACTCACACTTTATATTAAGGGAGACTTCATAGACAGCTGTGAGGCTATAGTGTCTCTGTCCTTGATAGTTTTTAGGAGCAAGTTAGAAAAATGTGTGTCTGCAATAGACAGAAATGGTCCTGTCTTGATCTAGGGATGGGTGAAGATCAGAGGGAGCCAACCCTTCTTGGCAGGTGTGCCCCAAATTAGCCCCACACCCTTCCCAAGTGCCACTCCACTTCCCTTCTCCTGCCCAATCTGCTGCTCTGCTTTCTGCTTCCTGCCCTGTGCTCCCTGCCTGCTCTGCCACTCTGCCATCTGCTTCTTTCCCTGTGCTCCCTGCCCAACTTGCAACTCAGCTTTCCGCCCCTTGCCCCCTGCCAAGTCTGCTGCATGCTACACAGAAGCTGCCCATACCATTTGCGGCACCCAAGCTGCTGGTCGGACACTCTAGGTGTCAGGGACCTTCTGAGACTCCTTCTGGCTTGACTTCCGTATGATTCAAATTGGGAACAGAATTGGGCCCACTCTCTATCTGCTTACCCATACTGGACTGAACAGCGGAGGCAGTTTCCATCATGAGCATTTGCCTGCCTTGAGTCATCTGCTTTCTTAGCTTTTCCTGAATGTAAGTAACTGAGCTTGACCAATCTTCCCTCCTTGCAGGCATGAGACCACAAGGGAATGCACAATATTGTTCAAGGAAAAAATCCTCTTGCCAGAACAAGTGTGACCGTAAATTCAGGAAGTGTAAAGAAGACCGTGATTAAGGAAGCCTTCCCTCAAGAGCTAACGAAAAACTGGAAGTGATTCACCCTCTCCAAAGACCTAACATGGCAACATTAAAAATAAATCCCTAGCATCAATATCAATGTGTGTGGTGCTTTTCTTAAATTTGTCCTTTCTATGACCAGCATCTAGCAGGAAATCCTCTCCTGACTAGAGCCAAGCAGAAACTATTTCCACACTCTCAGACACTGGTTAGGGTGTCTGGATTTTCCTTACTCTGAATCAGGACAAACCTAAGACATTTTGCAGGAGGGCTACATGATCTACCCCAGAACAGCCAAAGGCTGGTAGATCATGGCATCTAGCTTGGGTGGTGGAGGACCAGCTTCATGTCTCTGCTCTGTCTTCTGTGGACCAGGGACATGTATTGAGGCCCTCAACACCCAGGGAAGGACCTGCCCTGCCAGCTCTGAGTGTCTCCAGCATCACTTGGAGCTCATTCCTAATGAATGTTTCCCCTGGCATCTGTAACGTACTATAAAGGGAGGTCCATATTCTACCCAGTCCAGGAAAGGAAGAGACATCCCTTCATTTCACTGGACCTCCTAGTTTTTGGTACACGATGTTGGTTTTGCTGAATCTTCTTTTTCTGTTGAAGATGCATTTCATCAAAACCAAACCAAACCAAAAACCCCAAACCCACAATCAAGCAGCCCAAGCAATTTACGTGCTCACTTCTTTCTCCCAAGCCATTTACTGTGGGTGAAGAGAGGCAAACTGGTTATTCTCAGCTGGTTTTAAGGTCTCTAAATGAACCCACATTTTCCACCAGTACAGACTGGTGCATATCTGCAGGACTGGTTGATTCTGTTGCAGCACCATGTGGGGTGCCAGGTAAGCATTTATATACAGCAAAATGTTTGGCTATCATCTGATGCTGAAGCAAGCCCTAGGGTCACTGGGTAGCAGGGCACAAGCCAAGGAAGCTCTTCTGCTCTGCTTTACTCTTCTCCATGGCACAAGGGACCACATCCTCCAAACTCCTCAGGGAGCAGTGGTGAAAGGGACCCCCTGTGCTCTGTGCCCTGGGTGCCAGAGGTGGTTGCAGGAATGGTGTGGGGGCCATGGGGAGGGATGGGGCGAGTGATGGGAAGAAGATGAAGTGGGGGCCCAGGACTTCAAGAGGCAGATGGATGACTGAGTGCAGGGTGAGGGATGTGAAGGCATCAGAGAAGGGTCTGAGAGGTGGGGCCAGCATGGATGTGGGGGAATCCGAGAAGAGGGATGTGGGGACCAAGGGGCAGCTGGACTGTGTAGGGAGCAGAGGAGGGGGGCCAGTAAAGCAGAAGCTGGACTGGGGTTAGGCACATAGCTGGGTAGAGGGAAAAACCAAGGGTGAGGAAAGGCAGAGATCTGACTGGGAGTTAGAGGGATGGGGTCAGAAAATGCATAGGAGACCAGTGCAGTCAGTGTGGGGCTTCTCTCGCTGCACAAGAAACCTAGCGTGGCCAGGATGTTGTCTGAGTTGCCTCCATCTTTGTAAAGAGTCACTCAGTCTGCAGCTGCAGTAGCCTGTGTCCCTGGGCCATTAGAAGTCCTTACATCCCAGCAAAGTTGTGTGCAGGCAACAGGGGCCCACGCAGATAGTTATGAGGACAGGGCTACTTTGGGGATCTGGGAAGTGAACACGTGCCGAGGAGCGGCGCTGTTCTTCTGTAACAGATGCCCCAGGGGAGGCCAGTGTCTGAAAATGGAGCAGACCTGGTATTTTTGTTGGAGGGAAATGAAAGCAAAGCCAATGTGATTTCTGGTAGGAGGGAGACAGTGGATCCCAGTGAGGTGGTATCTGCACCCATCCGGGGAGCAGGGAGGACAATCTCCAGCCAACACAAGGAGGAGATACTCAGAACAGGGCAGAGTGATCTCTGAGGGAGCCTGAAGCAATTCTGTGCCCCCAGAGCTGCACTGGTCTGTAACCACAACAGCTCTCATCTGCACAGGACACATGGCACAGGATCCCAGGGTGAGAAATTGGCCCTGTGAGCTGGCCTGTGCCCCAAAACTGGAAGAGTGAATTGTTAATCTGAGCAAGAGTAAGAATTCAGGTTTCCAAATGATGCACAAACCCAGTCACTCTGCAGCCATTCATAGTCTATACTCCCTTCTCTATTCAGATCTCTGGCAATAAGCCAGTCTCTTCCCTACATCACAGCCAGTTCTAGGATCCCTTCCTAAATCCATCTTTTGTCCCACACCCTGGCCCCCTGGATACATGCTCTGCCTATCAATGAATATCTTCCATCATCTGGTCTCTACTCCATGTGCAAATCCTCCTCTGCTCCATCAGCCTATCCTGGTTCCCTCAGCCAATTATCCACCCTGTGCCTTGAAGTGATATTCTGCCTGTATACCATTGGCTCTTAGAGTCATGAAAATGCTCTGTAGCTATCTGAAAGCAGAGGTATAAGTGTCACAAAATACCACATGCATGGATGTTAGATCTTTTTTCTGCCAGTGCCCTAGGCTTGCCCTTCATCAGCAGGACGTGTGAGAACTATTTACACTCTCCTGTGATCCTTTTCCACCAGAAACTGCAGAATTGCATGCAAGGCCCTCAAAACTTGAATCAGGGGAAACCAGCCAGAGGGCCTGTTGGATGCTGGAGAAGCCAAACTTGTGTGCCCTTCCCCTGCCTTCAGCCCCTGAGCTTGGTGGATGGGACACTTGGTGAGAGAGTGGGAAAAGCAGGTTCAAGGTTTTCCTTAGCCACAAGGTGGTTTTGAACCCTTATTTTTCCATTTCCTCTCTTCCTACATCCTTAGCGAGTGTTTTGGGGTGCCTGCTCTGTCTCTTGATGGCTGTATCTCAAACTGGGCCCTTGGCCCTCTTGATTTCCACCCTGCATGCCCATCTTATACAGCCCTGCATGCCAAGGTCTACAGTGTGGAGAGAAGCCAGTGTCCTCATGGGAGAGTAGGGAGGAAGGTGAGGGAGTGGGTCTTTCCCACCATAACACAGGAAGCCACAATAGTGTGGTCGCTAAGGAGGGAAACATAGGTTTTGGATAAAACGTAGGGAAATGTTCCAGCTTTTGGTCTTCCTTAGTCCCTCTGCCTTGCATGCAGCTAGGAGACTAGATCACATCGGAGAGGTTTCCACACTAGAAATAAATGCATTGTGCTCAAATAAACACTAGCAATGGCTTAGCACAGGGTGGAGACAAGGGCCATTGTGATTAAAGCTGGGCGCAGCTATGGTGGAAAGGAAATCACACCACAATCCCTTTGAGGTTGCTCTGATCTGGCCGCTCTGTCATTCATCCATCTGTTTGCCCAGGACTCACCAGAGATAAACCCTCAGTCCTGGCTGGGTGCCCGTAAAGTTGATGTTGTCAACTGGCTGGGTGCCTGTAAAGCATGTGTCACCTCTGAGCTGACTCCCTCCTAGCAGACATCACACTGTATTATTGATTTATTATTGATTTATTATCAAATATGTATTTATTTATTCTCTTTCAACACGTGTCCAAGATCTGCTCCTGTCTCGGAGTCCAGTGCCGCCTGCCATCGGTGACCAGACAGCTGCACATCCCAGCAGAAATGTAGAAGTTTTCATGCCTTTCCCAAACCCATTCTGAAGATGCCCTCACCCCGTCCCAAGTTCAACAAATTGATGGCATCAAAGAGGCATTTGCTCAACATCACGTGGAAGTCAGCTTACATGCAAAGAGTCTAAGGGATTCAGGGCATGGCGTAGCAATGGGGTCATGTTTGCAGGTGTTATCAAGCACTAGCTATTATTACTGCCATCCATTACCCAGAGGTTGACTCAGTTATATGACACTGTTACTGCTATTTATTGCTCACGTTATGGCAGTGTCTACAAGTCTCCGCCAGCATCAGTGCCCCATTACAATAGACACTATACAAATACATAGCCAAGGGGCTGAGCTGTTAGAGCCAGGGAGCTCTTTGCTCCTAATTAGCTGCCTGATCCCTTGAAATCAGAGATAATTTGAAGGATAAATGACAGTTAGGCACCTTGGTGAACGTGGGCATTACAGTCAAAAGAGATAAAGGCATGGAGAGGAAACACAGGTCCAGTGAAATGAAGCCTTTATTGGATCCTGATCATAGGAGGAACAAACTAAAGAAAAACACCACACATTGATATTGATGCTAGGGGCTTACTTTTAAGGTAGCCAATTTAACTCTTTGGAAAGAATGAATTGCTTCCTGGTTTTCTTTAACTCTCAGAGGCAGCACACATAATTCACTGTGCATAATCCAGTCTTACGTTCCTTCTCCTTGCAGTGATGCCGGCAATAACCACCTTTCCATCCACACCATAATGGAGATGCCAGTGGTTTAAGATCTGCAGGGAGGGGAAAAAATGATCAGTATACATCCCCTGTTTTCCACAGGTGATGAGTTCTGCTGGTTTTAAATACACCTTTAATCTGCGATGGTTTTCCCATGGACAATTTCCCACTATGCTAATAGCTACTAGCACTTGGCAGATGTGTAAGTCCTGTCTCACACTGTGTGTATACTTCCCCGAGGGAGCCCCAGCAGGACTTGTAAAGGATCATTTGGCAATCAAATATCAACACTGGTAGTGCTGGCTTACAAATGACTTCTGGCAAGGTCATGTACCAATGAAGTTACTTCTTGCACCAGAGCTTCTTCAACAGCTCTCCCGACTTGGTCACCAATTAGCTCTTCTGGCCAGTGTAAACAGTGCTGAAGCAGCTCTACTATTATTTTTCTCTCTTTTTAGGATATTATATTGCCACATATCACTGCTCCAGCAGCTAGGCATCTTTGTACCAGTGCTACCTAGGAAACTGGAGTTTTCTGGTTTCCAACTATATAGCCTTGTCTTTTATTAGGATACTTAACATTGCCCTTGTCCAGAGAGAGGACACGCTCTGTCCTTAATGCCCATCTCACATTAACTGCTGTTGCTGCTCCTCACCTGCAGATCCCTTATCATCAGCATCCTCCGCATCCATGACGTTGTCCTCAGCTTGCTCTTGCATCTCACCCAGATCTTGTGGCTCAGCCTCACCCTGTGCCACGACTGTGACCTGAGCCTGGGCCTGGAAAACCAAGGTGGCAACCCCCAAGAGAAGGTAGAGGAGCTTCATGGCCAAAGCTTAGCTGCAATTTCAGTTTTTTTACAAAGAGAGGAGAACCAAGGGCAGACTGAAGTCCTGTGTGGTGAAGGCATGGACAACCCCCCGTATTTATGTGCATGTCGCTAAGCCAAGGGAAGGAGCATGCAGGGGATTTCAAATTGCTCCGAGCTTCCTTTGTTGTTTGCTTTGATGTTGCAGCCATCTCCTGTCTGTTGACTCTAGATTTTCCTACTAGTGATCCCCCAGCTGGTGCAAAATTTACCTGCTGTTTTGCAGAGGTCAGGCCTATCTCCATCAGATTTGGGAGGATGATAAATATATGTGTCTCTTGTCTTCTAAGGATAATAAAAGCAGGGTCAGATGCTTTATGCCACCTCCCTGGGACCACGCACAATAGAAGTAGCCCAGAATTCTGGTGGTAAAGAGCGCCCATGTCATTTCTGTGTTTTGGGAGGCAGTCTGAGAGCTAAACACACCTGCAGGAGCTGCATGGTCTCTACTAAGTCACGATGCCTTGCATGTGTGCCTGCGGCCACTCTGTGTTCCAGAGCAGCCCCAATGTGGGGCTGATAGCATGTCCCTTATTGTACCCCTGTATCTCCCCTTCTGCCCCACATCTATGCCCCTATCGGTGAACATGTACCATGCAGTGCCTTGGTGAGGAAGCAAGATTGCATTAGGTTATGAGTCTGGTCCTGGTTCCACTATCTCCTGATGCGGGACCTTGTTTAGGACTATTACAACCACATCCAAGAAAGAATCATGACAATCCTTGGGGCTGTCTTATTTTACAACAGATTTTCATGGTTGTGCATGGCCAACCCATGTCCCAAAGCAGCTGGGAAACATTACTTATAGAGTGTGCCCCTGCCATAGGCCAATAGGTAGCCTCCTGGCCTCAGCCATCACCCCCTTGGTATAGAAAGGTCATGCGGGGCCGTCTACCAAAATGGATGCTGAGAAGGGATGTGAAAATTGTCTACAAATGCACTGGGGGTTAAACATCAAAAAAGAAGAAAGTCTGCTTAAACTACAGCACTGGTGAAGAACAGGTGGGTGTCAGCTGTCCACAAAGAGATTACAGGAAGGTTTCTAGTTAGCAGAGGTCTGAGGGCATAGATTCACTTCCCAGCATGGGCTCATGCACAAAACTTATAACTGGTTTTAAGGGCTCATGCACAAAGCATCCACCTGGTTTTAAGGGGCAGACTCATGAGTTAAAAGGTAGAATTCTTCCAGCAGCTGGAGACCAGATTTGAGGGCATGAAAACTCCCTTCTTGGTCTTAATGCGGCCTGAACATTAAAATGACGGTCTGGGAAAGCAGGAGACTATCAGCAATGGGGGACAGTCCAGTATTCCTCAAATGAAACCATAATTTTGTAAAAAAAAAAAAAAAAAAAAGAATCTCAGCCAATTTCATGAGCTGTATTTAATTACCCATGGCCACTTCGAGGAAGGTGTATGAAGTGGACAGGATATCAATGTTAAGCATAGCAATGTTAAGTTGGAGAAGAGGTCTTTTAGATTCAGAAGCCCACGGCTGCCAACCAAGCTTATTAATAGTCAGGGATATGTTGAGATACCTGATATGCATACTTTTTCTAAGCACGGAATAAAGGGTAACCAAATAACCATATAACTCCTCATCCAGTGGTGTATATTAAGGGTGTGAATTTTTCTAGAGTGAGCTCAGTGGGTCTCTTTAACCTTTACTCTTGGGCTTTTCCTTTTGTGAGAAAGCCCCAGTACTCTTCCCAATAGCACGTGACACATTCATCTTTCTCATCACCTTTTTGTGTGACCGCATCTCCTAAGGAGACCAGAGAACAAGCCCAACAGCTCACCCAGCCAAAAATAGTTAAACACCTGGTATTACAAAACACATCTCAAAAACTCTTTGGAGATTAGATTCTTTTACATCCCTCTCCATTGCTGCATCTTACCTGGAGGTGCCGTATCAGAGGCTGCCACCTCATTTAGGGTTTATGCCTCTGTTTCATTATTTCCCATGACCCCATCCTAAGCCTGGTCCTGCCAGACTGAGCAGACAACACCAAAGAGAAGGTAGGAGAGTTTCATGGTGAAAAAATGCCTGGGAGCTCAGGGTCTCTGAAGACAATGGAGGTGCAAAGACAGACTGAGGTTCATAGTTTCATAGTTTCATAGTTTTAGGGTCGGAAGGGACCTAATAGATCTTCTAGCCCGACCCCCCGCCAGGGCGGGAGAACAACAAAAGAACCCTAAACAAAAAACGGGACTCAAATGAGTCCAGCCAGGTAGGTATCCAGCCTCTTCTTAAAGATCCCCAGGGTAGGGGCCAGCACCACCTCCCTTGGAAGTTGGTTCCAGCTCCTAGCCGCCCTAACTGTGAAGTAGTTTTTTCGGATGTCCAATCTGTACCTCCTCTCCATCAACTTGTGCCCATTACTCCTTGTTATGCCAGCGGGGGCTAGGGGAAACAGCGTCTCCCCCAAACCCTTCTGGTTCCCCCTAGTGAGTTTATAGACGGTCACCAGGTCCCCCCTCAGCCTTCTCTTGTGGAGGCTGAATAGGTTCAAGTCCCGCAGTCTCTCACTGTAGGGTCTGCCCTGTTGTCCCCGGATCATGCGGGTGGCCCTCCTCTGGACCCTCTCCATGTTGTCCACATCCCTCCTGAAATGGGGCGCACAGAACTGGACACAATACTCCAGCTGCGGCCTGACCAGCGTCGCATAGAGGGGGAGGATCACCTCCCTGGCTCTACTCGAGATGCACCTGTGGATGCACGACAAGGTCCGGTTAGCCCTGCCAACCATGACCTCGCATTGTCGGCCCATGTTCATCTTGGAGTCAATAATGACACCAAGATCCCTTTCCGCCTCCGTGCTCTCAAGTAGGGAGTTCCCCATCGTATAAGTGTGCTGCTGGTTCCTACTACCCAAGTGCAGCACCCTGCACTTGTCCGTATTGAAACACATCCTGTTCCTGTTTGCCCACCCCTGTAACCTATCCAGATCCTTCTGCAATCTCTCTCTCCCTGCTAGCGTGCTCACCTCCCCCCAAATTTTGGTGTCATCAGCGAATTTAAACAGGTTGCTTTCCACCCCAACATCAAGATCGCTGATGAAGAAATTGAACAGCGCAGGCCCCAGGACCGAGCCCTGGGGGACTCCACTACCCACCTCCCCCCAAGTCGAGTATGATCCATCCACCACCACCCTCTGAGTGCGACCCTTCAGCCAATCTGCAATCCATCTGACTGTGTAGGCATCTATGCCACAGTCGCCTAGTTTATTAATTAGGATGGGGTGAGAGACGGTGTCAAAGGCCTTGCTGAAGTCCAGAAAGACTACATCCACCGCGACACCTGCGTCCATGGCCTTTGTGACCTGATCATAAAAGGCAATCAGGTTGGTCTGACATGATCTCCCCCTAATAAATCCATGCTGATTGCCCCTGAGCATCATCTCGGATGCCGGCCCATCACAAATGTGCTCCTTGATGATCTTCTCAAAGAGTTTCCCCAGGATTGAGGTAAGACTGACGGGCCTATAATTGCCCGGGTCCTCCCTTTTCCCTTTTTTGAAGATGGGGACCACATTAGCTACCTTCCAATCGTCTGGCACCTGGCCCAAGCACCACGATCGCTCGTAGAGCCGTGCCAGGGGCCCTGCAATAACCCCAGCCAGCTCCCTCAGCACCCTGGGGTGGAGAGCATCCGGACCCGCTGACTTGAACGCGTCCAGCCCCTCCAGAAGCTCTCTAACCCGGTCCTCCCCAACCTGAGGTCTGAAGGCGATCCCCTCGCGTCCGGCTTCTATCACAGCAGGGAAGTCCCGGTCCCTGCACAAGAAAACGGAGGTGAAGAATTGGTTAAAGAGGTCCGCTTTATCCTCTGACGCAACCACCAGATTGCCCCGCATATCCTGCAGGGGCCCCACATTACCCGGCGCCTTCTTCATCCTCCCAATATATTTGAAAAAGGACTTTTTGTTATCCTTAATCCTGGACGCTAATCCGAGCTCTATCTCCGCCTTGGCCTTCCTAACAGCCCGCCTGCAGGCCCGAGCAGAGGAGGTATACTCCTCTTTGGAGATTACACCCCCCTTCCACCGGGCGTACGCCACCCTTTTGGCAAGCAGGCATTCCCGGACACCCTTGGTGAGCCAGGGGGGCTTTTGGACACTCCTGCCCGCCTTGCTTCTTGTCGGGATGGACACCCCTTGGGCCCCGAGTATCGTTTCCTTAAGGAACGACCACTCCTCTTGGACGCTGAGTTCCTCTGCCCTCAAGGACCCCAGTTCCTCTCCCACTAATCTCCTCATCTCACTGAAGTTGGCCCTCCTGAAGTCTAGGGCCACCACCTTGCTGCGGGCCCTTGACACTCTACGCTGGATGGTGAATTCCAGCACACGATGATCACTATTGCCCAGGTGGTCAAGAACCTGGAGGCCTCTTACCAGGTCGTCGCCTGCGGCCAGGACCAGGTCCAGCAGGGCATCTCCTCTGGTGGGACTGTGCACCTCCTGAATCAAGTGGAGGTCCTGCAACTCGGCCAAGAACCTCCTGGAGCGGTCCGTCCCGGCTGACTGCTCCTCCCAGCATATGTCCGGGTAATTAAAATCGCCCATGACAACTACATCCCTTGCTTTTAGTGTCTCCGCAAGCTGGCCTGAAAATTCCCTGTCCAGCTCCTCCTCTTGATTGGGGGGTCTGTAATAGACCCCCACCGTCAAATCCCTCTCGCCTTGCCCGCCCTGGATCTTGACCCAGAGCACTTCAGCTTGCCCTTCCCCTGACCCCATGTAGTGTTCAATGTAGTGAGATAATAGAGAGCCACAGATTTATATATGTGTCACTAAGCAAGGGGAGGAGATTGCAGCAAATGCAACATTTTAGGTGGGGATCCAGGACAAGGAACAACCCTTGGATTGCTTTGATGTGGGACCCATCTCCTGTGCAGCCTGTCTGAGGTCTGGTTATGACCCACCCAGCTCCTTATCTCTTTTATAGTTTAACAGCAGTTGT